TTTATTTTTAAGTTATTGTTTTTATAGCATTTTTGTAATATTTATTTGTATTTTATTTATTTAATTAAATCATTTCTTGCTTTATAACACTATTGCTTAACTGCATATTTACTATATATGTATATATAACTAAACAAAAAAATAGTTAAATAATAATTCTCCGCCCGTCTGTTCGCCTCAATCGTCAATTTCAAACTAAACCGTTTACTCTTCTTTCATAATTTTCTAGGCTGCCTTCTCTTGACTTCCTGTTGTGTTGTTTCTTTGTTGTTGTTGCTGTTGCTGTCGGTTGTTGTGGCTTTTGTGACTTGGTTTGCATGCGCTGACAAGTCCCAATAAACTTCAATAAACTCGTTTTAATATCTCAACAATTTACTTTCATGTTTGCAGACCCAAAAAAATAAAAACAACAACAATTTGTTCGCCCCTCTTTAGAAAAATTAATAACTGCAGCTAATTTTTATGCAATTTCTACCTACCCATGTATGTATGTGTGTGCATAACCCCGCCCCAGCAATTCCTAATTAAAGACACTGAATGTTTTGCTAACAAACTTTAATTGACGGCACGCACATTGGCTCAAATGGCTTTCTGATGAAGCCACAAACAAAGTCAATTAAATGACGGCTGATAGTTGCCAACCCAGACAGACAGACAGACAGACAGACAACACGTTTGGGCCAATCAATACGAGTTGGCTAAGGTGAGGCCTTATTAATGCCAAAGGCATTCCCCATTTATGGTATCCCCGAATAGTGTTCACTTGTTAAGAACATTTATTGCAACATATTTATGAAACTATGCAAATTGCTATTAATTTTCTTGTATTGTTTTTAGAGTAAATAAATAAGTTTGATGTCTGAGACACCCCCTCTCGCCCCGCTCCCCTCCAAAAAAAAAACTAAATGCAAAACATTGCGTGTTACCCACTCATTTGCTTGTGGCAGCAACCTTCGCGGCATGCCGAAACAATTTTTGTTTCGGTTGCCCTCATAAGCAATCGGCTGCAGTGTTGCCTTACATGCGCCATCAGACCAGACCCGGCCAGGACAGCCTACAACAAGCCAGGCCAAGTCATATTTGTGGCCTATTGAAATGTTGTGTCTTGGGTCGACCTGACATCTGCCTTCGGCCTTCTATGCTCGCCCTGCTGCTTATTCGCTTTATGACGTTGGAAGAATTATGATATTTGCATACGTTCAAGTTGAGAGAGCTTGGAATCGTCTGGCTGCCCTCCACATCCACTCGATGTCTGCTCCTCTTCCTTCTTGCTGGCCATAATCGAAAATATTGTATATGGGTTAGAGTTTAATGCATGTTTATTTGGATTTACGACATTTCCAATTCTGTTGACAAATTGAGGCGTCTCTAAAGGGAGCAGCCTTCTAATCGTTTCAATTGTTTGATTGTTGTGGGTGCAACTCGCAATTCGCTCGGCATGCAATCAGATTGTCCTTAACAAAATATATTGGGGGTACCTGTTGAATAGGATTTATATATGTATGATGTGTATATATATGTAGTATGTGTATATAGGTTATATGTATACATGTTATAATATATATATATTTTTTTTATATACATATCTATATATATATATATATATATTTTAAATGAATAGGAAGCAAATCAAAAACATAATTTGATCTTTGTAAAACCAACTTTGCCTTAGATAAACGTACATGCATATATGTATAAATATATATGTATCGGTTTAATAAAAATTTATGAGAATAACTAATAAATGTTTTTCTATATCAAAATTTTTCTCATTGAAATCAAAGCTTGGGTTCCAGAGATATACATTTTTAAACTTGCAAAAATGTTTGACCTATTTAGTTCTCTCGCACTGTATGTGCCTATTGAAAGCCTCTCCAATGCTCCATGGCTTTGCCTGTTAATAGTTAATTTGTTAGCACAACTTGACAACCATAATTTACTTTGCTGTTTATACATA